AAAACTAGCCTAGAAACATGTAAAACTCGAAAAAGTGACCCGAGGTCACCCGAGGTCACCAAAGGTCAATGACCTGACCTGACCTTCAGGTGACCTTGACACACACGGGAGTAACATCAAATCACATGTTTGAACGTTTGAACCACGAAAAGCTTGCAAACACGCGGCTAGTGCGAGCCGACATACGCGAAATCGCGATTCCGGCCAAACATGGTCTCGGAAAAGAGGTCACAGGTCAAAGGTCATTTGGGTCAGGGTCATGAAATTTTCAGGGTAGGTGTAAAATTGATCAATGCGAGGGTACTGAAAGTTTCGTCGCGATCGGCCGCTTTTTACGCGAGTTATTCGCGAAAAACCATGGGGGGGGGGGTCCATCCGACCCCCCCCCCCTACACATGCGAGGGATAACATATAAGTTCAAAATATACGAACGAAAAAAGTCTGGACGAAAAAGTTTACAGACGAAAAAAATGTACAGACGAAAAAATGCCAGACGAAGAAAAGTCGGACGAAAATCTGCTAGACGAAAAAAACGCCATGGAATCATCTCAACTATAATTATAGGCGGTGTTTCACGGCCGAGAGCAGCACGCCCACGCCGCCATCCGCTCTTGGCACCCTGCCAGGAGCTGACGTTACATTTTGGGGTAGTGTTGGAACTTGGAGATAAGAGTTTGTTTATATCTCCATGGAAACCCCATTTGACACGTGTGATAGCAGCGTGCTGCTATCAGTGAAACCTTGAGTGAAACCAAACACCACCCTGATCTCAACCAAGGCAATGTCAACACAATTAGAATTCATAGTCGGCGTGTGAATAAGGGAGCTTTTCCCATATTATGGACATCAGAAGGTGAGAGTTCCAGTTAGCGCCTCTGCCCCACCCCACTTTCAATAGGATATGGTTGCTTAGCCCACATTCAACCAACGAAGAGGAACATTTGCTAATTCCTAATTGTAAATATTTTATGCAGAGGTAAGAACCCTTATCGATAAAATTAATTTAAATAACTGCTTAAATAACAAAGTGAAGAATGCTGAATTGTACATTGCGGAGCAGAGTGTCAAGGCGAAGCATCAAAGCCTGACAGTAGGTATTCATCTTGCAGTCAGACTTGAAACTTGAGACTGGAGCTGTATTAGCCTGTAAATTGGCCAAGACCCTGGTCTTCCAATTTCCATGCAACATGGATGAAATAAATTAAGCTTGATTAGTGATTAATATTGATTTCTTTAGAGTTTTGATATTTTTAAGTGCGATCACGAAGGCAGTGTAATTGCTCACTCCATAGCTAGCTCATAGCTGAAGCATCAAATCCTGAGTTAATTTCCAAGCATGAACTGAAAAGAATTAGAACTGGATCAGCTCAGCTCAGCTAAATCAGCTCAGCTCAATCAGCTCAGCTCAGCTCAGCTCAGCTCAGCTCAGCTCAGCTCAATCAGCTCAGCTCAGCTCAGCTCAATCAGCTCAGCTCAATCAGCTCAGCTCAGCTCAGCTCAGCTCAGCTCGCTCAGCTCAATCAGCTCAGCTCAGCTCGCTCAGCTCAGCTCAGCTCAGCTCAGCTCAAGCTCATTCAGCTCAGCTCAGCTCAAGCTCATTCAGCTCAGCTCAGACAGCAGCTCAGCTCAATGCATTACTGAGCCGGCTCAGCTCACAGCTCAACAATTTGGCAAAATGTTGAGCCGGCTCATGAGCTGAGCTGATTTTTGAGCCGGCTCAACTGAGCTGATCACAAGTCTGAATCTGAGATAATTAATAAGAAAGAGCTATCGAATGCGCTTTGCTGCGGGGCTGTAGCTCAATCTCTTTATGAATCCTGACTTACGCGCCGCTTTGTCGAAAAATGTCAAAATCGGCGAAATTTGATTTTCGGTTGTCTCTGGTGACCTGACCTTCGACCAGTTCGACCTAACCTTAAAAATGGTTTAAATAGTTTTGCAAAAGTTTTTGACGCTCTTTCGAACGCCGCCTATTGCGGGTCTCAACGTGGCCCACAAGCTGAGTTAGAAGTGGGTGTTCAAACACCCCCAGCAGGTTTAATTTAAAAAAAAAAAACGCATACGCTGGAGGCGGCACCGCACTGCTAGGCGGGGGTGGTATCGCAATAATGGGCGGCACTGTGCTGAGACGCACCACTTGCATTGAGGGGTGGCATTGTACGGTGAAGGGGCGGCGTCGCATTGTGGGGCGGTATCGCAACGAGGGGTGGCACTAACGAGGCTGCCTTATAAGAAACGCTTGGCACATCCTAGCCCAGCTCGGCGCCACCTGGCTGCTGCATCTTCAAAAGGGCCCTTGGTGTCGATGAGAGAGCCCCACTGTCAAATAACTACGTAATAAGTAACTACCTACTAATAAGTAACCACTATAAATAACTACCTACCTAATAATAACTACCTGTAGAAGTAGGGTGAGGGTAGGGCAGTGTAGGAGTAGGGTAGGAGTAGGGTAGAGTACGAGTAGGGTAGGGGTAGAGTAGGAGTAGGGCAGGATTAGAGTAGGAGTAGGTTAGGGTAGAGTTGAGCTAATATGCAGGGAACACGATTACTCTCAAATCCGACATTTTTGCGCTCACATGCAACACGATGCGCTCAAATCCGACAGCGCTATGAATCGACTGTCGGGGCAAAATTGCACATGCAGAGTACGCTATAGCGTCAGTGGTTTCTGAGGGGGGGGAGCGCTAAGATCTTGAATGGGACGGGGCGACTGAAGTCTCCATTCAGATGGGCGTCAGTGACTACTGGAGGGTGTCAACGAACTCGGATAGGGCGAATGTGATCTTCAGAAGGCCAACGGGTGATCTAGATGGGTGTAATGCTTGGATGGGGTCACTGCTGCCTTCAGTAGGGCGTCGGACGCTCTAAAGGGGCGCCATTGATCTCGGATGGTCCGACTGCTATTTTCAGAGGGACACCAGTGGTTTCAGAGGGGCGCCATTGATCTAGGATGGGGCGGATGAAGTCCCGGTTCCGGTGGGCGCCAGTGGCTCTTGAAGGGCGCCAGCGACCTTGGATTGATGGGGCGACTGTGATCTTTAGAAGAGCGTTGAGGGGCGCCATTGGGCATCGATGGGGCCGCTGTTGCCTTCAGCAGGACGCCGGACGCTCTAGAGGGGCGCCTTGAGCTTGGGTGGGGCGACTGTAGTCTCAAGGGGCGTTGTCTCGGATGGGGTGAATATGATTTTCAGAGGGGCGCCGGGTACGAAGGGTGCCATTGGTTTCAGAGGGTTGCCATCGATCTTAAGATGGGGCCGAATGGGGCAACTGTGAACTTCAGAGGGGCGTCATCAACCTTTAATGGGGCGACTGTTCCGTTCAGGTGTGTGCCAGCGGCTCTTCAGGGGCGCCATCGACCCTGGGGGTTCGGAATATTCTGGTTTCCGGAGGGGCGCCCTTCAACATTGGGGGGGGGGCTCAGGTCCTGTCTGAGGGTGCCCTGGAGGACATAGGGGTGTCCAGGCACCCCCAAAGAGATATTGAGTTCGGTCCCTGCCTGCACATCAATTTTTAATTCATGTTCTCTCTGTAAAACGGCATCAGCCTAGTCGGCGCTAACTGGGGCGCCATTTGGGCGGCTGGGCGGAAAGGGGGGCCATGGCCCCCCTCCTATCTACGCCACTGACCTCACCTCATTACTCTTTGCGCAGGGTTGATCGTAACATGTCTCAGAACAACTCATAAAAACTTTGACGTGGTCAACTAACGCAAATAGTATCCCCATGGCATATACTTTGACTCTTCAAACATCCGTTAATCATGACTTGTCCACGGTCAAAAAAAACTTTGTGTTTGAGGACCCCTTTTCCCCATATCAAGATGTTACATGACCAAATAACTGTCATATATGTAATGTGTGGACAATTTACCGTCGATTGGTATGCGTTTTGTTTACATGAAAGCGAAAGTTTTTTTTTTATTGAGAGAGGCTTGATCGGCCCGAACGCCTACAGTGCATCGGTGAATGGAGGCCGGACTCCCACCCTGAGTGTATGGAGGCTGGACTCCCACCCTCAGTGTGTGGAGGCCGGACTCCCACCCTCAGTGTATGGAGGCCGGACTCCCACCCTCCGTGGTGTGGAGGCCAGACTCCCACCCTCCGTGGTGTGAGGCCGGACTCCCACCCTCAGTGTATGGAGGCCGGACTCCCACCCTCAGTGTACAATCTATGGAGGCCGGACTCCCACCCTCCGTGGTGTGAGGCCGGACTCCCACCCTCAGTGTATGGAGGCTGGACTCCCACCCTCAGTGTACATATCTATGGAGGCCGGACTCCCACCCTCAGTGGCGTGAGGCCGGACTCCCACCCTCAGTGGTGTGAGGCCGGACTCCCACCCTCAGTGGTGTGAGGCCGGACTCCCACCCTCAGTGGTGTGAGGCCGGACTCCCACCCTCAGTGTATGGAGGCCGGACTCCCACCCTCAGTGTACAATCTATGGAGGCCGGACTCCCACCCTCCGTGGTGTGGAGGCCAGACTCCCACCCTCCGTGGTGTGAGGCCGGACTCCCACCCTCCGTGGTGTGAGGCCGGACTCCCACCCTCAGTGTATGGAGGCCGGACTCCCACCCTCAGTGTACAATCTATGGAGGCCGGACTCCCACCCTCCGTGGTGTGAGGCCGGATCGCCACCCTCAGTGTATGGAGGCCGGACTCCCACCCTCAGTGTATGGAGGCCGGACTCCCACCCTCAGTGTACATACCTATGGAGGCCGGACTCTCACCCTTAGTGGTGTGGAGGCCGGACTCCCACCCTGAGTGTATGGAGGCTGGACTCCCACCCTGAGTGTATGGAGGCCGGACTCCCACCCTCAGTGTATGAAGGCCGGACTCCCACCCTCCGTGGTGTGGAGGCCGGACTCCCACCCTCCGTGGTGTGAGGCCAGACTCCCACCCTCCGTGGTGTGAGGCCGGACTCCCACCCTCAGTGGTGTGAGGCCGGACTCCCACCCTCAGTGTATGGAGGCCGGACTCCCACCCTCTGGAGGCCGGTTTCGCTCACCTTTGGTGATGTGTATGGTCGAGGGGATGGTCTCACACTGCGGCCGGGCAGCGCGGCAGCCGCTGACGGTCAGCAGCGCTAGCAGCAGGCCGGCGGCGCGGAGGCGGGCCATGGCGCGGGCGGACGACTGGTGCGGGCTCGGAGCGCCGGTTCAGGTGGCCGCGGGCCGGCTGTGGACGACTGGCGGTCGCGGCGCGACGGCTCAGGTAGCCGCCGGCCGGCCGGCGGGGCGCCGCGCCGCCCGCCGGCCGCTAATGCAGCCGGCCGCGGGCGGGCGGGCGCCCCCCGCTCCCGACAGCCCGCCGCCATCGCAGCCCAGTCAGGGCCCCGGCCCGGCTCCATTGGTCAGAGGCGGGGGGGGGGGGGGGCTGACCCACTGAGACGGGCGGACGGACGCGCCGGCCACGGGCGGTGCGCTGCCGATTACGTGCTCTCAACTACCCGACACAGTCCACCACAGCCGACCGTACAGAGTGGCAGCGAAAAGCCCTCGCCCGAGTACCTCGTGTTGTTGCAGGCCGATTTTCAATATTAAAGCGTTGAAGCTATTATATTAACGACCAGGAATACGGACAATAAAATGAATAATTTTGATTTAATACCTATCACCGGTTGCAATTGACTTTTGGAACACCCTGTAGGAGTTCCACACAGCGCTATGGGTGTCCTTCACCGGCATCCGAGGGTCTCAGGAGTTAGGACCTGTAGATACCTGTAGATAAAACTAATTAAAACAGCCGCATGGTCAAACGCTGATAACTAGAAACTCACCCTGAGGTTATTAAAACCTTAACCCTCGCCGGCACAGAGGGAGGTTGATGCAACCCCCCGTAAGGTTTTTCGCGAATAACTCGCGTAAAAGGTGGCCTATCGCGACGAAACTTGAAGTATTCTCGCGTTAATCAATTTTACACCTACCCTGAGAATTTCATGACCCTGACCCAAATGACCTTTGACCTGTGGCCTACTTTTTGAGACCATGTTTGGTCGGTGTCGCGATTCGGCGTATGTCGGCTCGCATTAGCCGCGCGTTTCCAGTCTTTTCGTGGTTCAAACATGTGATTTGCTGTTGCTCCCATGCATTAGGATGAATGCCAAGGTCACCTGAAGGTCAGGTCAGGTCACTGACCTTTGATGACCTCTGTTCCCTTTTTCGAGTTTTATATGTTTCTGGGCTAGTTGACAGAGTTGTTTTTAGCTGAATTCGAATTCAGCAAACATTTGAACATTTTCGAAGTAGTTTTGGTGTCTTTGTTACATGTTATGAAGCTGTCAGAGGCGGTTGACACGTACTACGAATACCCAGCAGGACTCCTACTGATTGACCTGACCTGACCTGACCCAACCTGGCCTAAATGCATAAAGACATCATCTGTGATCAAATTAACATATTATCCGTGATCAGCACCCCGCAAAAAACCCGTGGCAGCCACACTTTACGATGTTCTAAGAGGTCCCGATTTTCCCGACTTTTTGGTCATTGACCTGACCTGGAAGACCAATCGGTGACCTAGGACCTTAAAATTGGGTGTCATCGGCTTCCTTTCGTCGCGGGCGACACGCTCGTTTAGATCTGATGAACGAATCCAGCGAGCAAGCATTCCAGGTCTCATAATGTTTTGTGGTTTACAGCAGGCATACGATAGTGTGAATTGGAATTACTTGATTGAAGTAACTGATAAGTTCAACTTTGGACCGAAATTTAAACATTGGATATCCATGTTGTACAGAGACCCGGATCAAGATCCTGTTACGGCGCGAATAACTTTGAACGGACACCTGTCTCGGCCTTACAGTATCAGAAGGGGATTGCGGCAGGGGTGTCCCTTGAGTTGTCTTCTGTTTTTACTATGCATCGAACCTTTCGGCGAAACTGTTCGTGCCAGAAATAGTATTGCTGGCATACACATAAACGGCTTTGAAGTTAAGATGTCCGCTTACGCGGATGACACAGCATTAATTCTAGACGGAACGGAAGGAAGTTTACTTGCAGCACTGAAAACTTGTGAGGAGTTTGAAACGGTGTCAGGACTAAAACTGAACAAAAGTAAAACGAATATCATGTGGATAGGAAGAAATAAAATAAGACAGGATATTCTATGTAAAGAATATGGGCTAAATTGGACAAAACAGATGAACTATTTAGGAGCTGAAATAGGCCCGATGATGAGGAACATGGCAGAGGAAAATTATGCAAGCAAAATAGCTAAATTAAAAAATTTATTAAACCCATGGATAAAACGTGGATTAACGCCTTTTGGTAGAATTCACTTAATTAAATCAATGGCGCTGTCCCAACTCGTTTATCATACGTCGGTGTTAGAAAAACCTAGTAAGAGGATGCTGAAAGAACTGGAGTGTCTAATGTTCAACTTCATATGGAACGGGAAAATAGACAGAATCAAAAGGACCTCGATGAAAAACCATTATGGTGAGGGAGGGCTGCAGGTTCCTGATCCATCAGCGCAAGCGGACAGCCTGAAGATAATGTGGATCAAAAAATTTTTGGATGAAAACAATCACGCTAAGTGGAAATTTGTAGTACAAAACAAACTCCTAATAGGAGGAAATCTTTCAATATTTGAATGTAAGCTATATCCAAAAGGGAGGTCGAATGCAAGTTCCCGGACAAATTCTGGAGGGAGATTTATCCAGCTTGGCAAACAATGGTTGAGGAAGAGGACAAAACAGACGGATTAGTATTGTATGAGTCTTTGTGGCACAATAGATATTTGAATTTGGACGACATGGTTGGAATACCGAAAAAGAAGCTTCAAAATAGTGGTGTGCTACGTATTAACGACATTTACGATAGAAATGCAGGCAGGCTGATGCCACCCGATCAACTGACAGAAAAATATGGCATTGGGAACTTCCTTTTGTGGCATAGAATCTTAAAAGCAATCCCAAAGGAATGGAAACAAATACTGCGTGAGAAAAGACCGAGGGTGAGAGAAGTAAGGCCGGAGATATATGTTACTTTACAGGAAACTATAAAGGTAGCAAAGTGGGCATATTCCGCACTTATGAAATCAAATAAGTTGTCTTGTCCTCGCAAAGCACAAACCAAATGGGAGCAGGAACTGCAAGGAGTGCAAAGCTCTTGGCCATCAGTCTTTAATATACTATATAAAAGTACACAAGATTTTAAACTGAAATGGTTGCAACTGCGTATCCTGCATCGAATATTGCCTACCAATAGAGTACTTAATTGGATGAAAATAAAAGAGTCTAGCATGTGTGATCGTTGCTTTGAGCCCAACGAGGATATATATCATGTTTTTTGGGGTTGTAAGGACACAAAGAAATTTTGGATGAGACTGAAACATACGCTTGTTTTACCGAAAAATTTCACACCAGAAGATATCCTTTTAGGTAACGTAACTGGAAAAGGAAAATGGACGGCAGCCCCCTTACGCGTGTGTGTACTATTAGGAAAACAGTTTATATGGCAATGTCGATGGTCTGGTGAAGAGCAAAGCGTACAGCGGTTTTCTTTGTATCTTGCAAAGTATATATCAGTTGAGAAATGCATCGTAGCACGCAAAGGGGGAAGAAAAAGGTTTGATGAAACTTTTGGGTTACTGTGGGAAGCCTTGTGTACGAGTAGTGCTTGATTGTGCAATGGACAGACGTGAGCTCAGGATTGGAAGGGGGAGGAGTGTATGTAGTGGGATTCCTGTTCTAGGTACAAAAAAAAAAATCAGCCACCGCTCCCATGACCCATCCGGGCCAACCCGGGACCGGCCTCTTTGCTCGGGGTTACATGAGCAGAGTTAATACGCATTACAAACGGACTACAATGGTGAGCGAATAGGAAAATTCGTTCCTGATACGTATTTACTTGCTCATGTAACCCCGGTATTTGACTAGGCGGTCGGCCGGCCGGGCGTGCGGGGCGCCGGCCCTACAAGTCGACGGCTCGCACGCCCGGCCGGTGGATAGGGGGCGCCGCCCGCGATACCCCTTCGCCGGGCGGCGCGGGCGGTGGCTGATGGCCCACGGAGGCTGATGGCAGGCGGGCCACACCACGTCGCGTGGTGGTGACGAGCTCCGCCGCCCAGTCAAAATGCAAATGAAATGTGGCGGGTGCACACCGCAACGTTATGTTGATGCTCATGTGGGGTTGAGGGGGTTGTTTGCCGTGCTCGATGCCGCTACTTATCTCCCGTCTTGCCAGCTGTACAGGGGACTAAGCGTGGAAGGCTGTGTCTCACATGGTGTATGTCTGTATGTTCGTATTTGGGGGACACCGGTGTGACAATTTCGTAACCCGTGTTCTCGGATATTAATAAACATATGAAAAAAGGCAAAAAAAGACACGCTCGTTTTTTCCGCAAAGCTCTAACTCGATCAGGGGCCAAACGCGAGGGGAGTTGTTACCTACCCTTGTGCCGTCGAAGGACTCAAAATGGCCTGTGCCGGCGAGGATTAAAGTTACTAGATTAGGGTAGGGTAGGGTATGGTAGGGTAGGGTAGAAGTAGGGGTAGGGTATAGGGTAGGGTAGGGTAGGGTGGGGCAAGAGAAGGGTGGTGCCAGTGTAGAAGTAGGGTGAGGGTAGGGCAGTGTAGGAGTAGGGTAGGAGTAGGGTAGAGTACGAGTAGGGTAGGGGTAGAGTAGGAGTAGGGCAGGATTAGAGTAGGAGAAGGTTAGGGTAGAGTTGAGCTAATATGCAGGGAACACGATTACTCTCAAATCCGACATTTTTGCGCCCCCATGCAACACGATGCGCTCAAATCCGACAGCGCTATGAATCGACTGTCGGGGCGAAATTGCACATGGAGATTGCGCTGTTTCTGGACATTTGATAAAAACGTGATTTTATCGGAAACCAATGCCAAACTATACGTGAAAAAGGCATAAAACGGGTAAATGAGGTAGGCCGATTCATTATGTAGGGGAGAGTGGGGTGGGTTGTATCAGTTTTTACTCCGAGACCCATAACCTCGTAACTACCCGTGATAAACTCATTATTTCCATACTATCTCCTTCCTTGATTCTTCTGCTTTTTTGTGCAAAGTAACTTTTCCGCTACCTCTACCAGTTTTTCTTCTACGGTCTGCCGAATAGAACAATGTTTTTGATACAACTTGCCCCATGGCTTGGGTGAGTTGTATCACATGGTGGGGTAATTTGTATCACTAGGTATTTCACGTTTCAGGGAGTGTGCTTGCTACTGGTTTTGAACATAACAATAACATTAAATGAGGTTAATACAATGTATATTGTATATGCTCCAAGGCTTCACTTTTATTAGACCAAACTTAAGTCAATGCAATCCGAACGAAACATCGAAACGAATGAAAC